ATGTTGGGAGTGTTGGCGTAGTACACATGGTCAGGGCCGCCAGCAAGTCTGCAGCGGGTAGGGCAGGTAGCGATAGCGATAGGAAGGGAGCCCACATACGTGACATAAGCACATGACGAGCAATGCTTGCGTTGCCATGGAGACCGTTAGATAGGGACCATGGACGTGTATTCCCAAGTTGGCAGCACGGCGTGGGTGGAGCGTAACTCCTCTAGGACGTGAAGGGAGTCCCATGCGAGCGAAGCATCTACGCTGACGTTTGCTTCTCCCTAGCCGTCCGTCCCCAACACAGCCTACCTGGCCGCAAGTTCCCAGTCGTAATGCCCCGACGCCTGCAGTACAATTTGCTGTTGGAAGTCCCCCGGGAAGGGATCCGACGGCACGTGACCCGCTGACTGCGGCGGGGCACAAGCAACGCACACCAAATACGAATCCTTCGTACAGCAGTGCTGATGATACCGGTACATGGTGGTGGTCATACAGTGAGGCAACTGGCGTGCGTGCGTGCGTGCGTGCTTGCGTCCTTTTAACTGACCGGAAGTAAGCGGCGGTTGGACACAAGTCAGGACCTGGACATGGGGTGATGTAGCCCAACTGACACACTACTCCAGCCAGCAGATTAACATACAAATGGAGGTAGTCACTGTTTGGCGTAAACGCCAAGCCGTACATACCAGCACTGCCGGCGGGTTCAGGTGTGTATGCCAGAAGCCCATGCGGCCCGCTTGGAGCCACGATGATACCGCCCAGCCACCGTTGTATTTGTCAGCGCTTCCTGTTATCAACAACAGCGTAAATCGCCCAGCCAGCAAGAAATAAGGGGGGGGGGTAGGTCATTGCGGTGAAACCGATCCCGGGAAGTGATTGGCAGCGTTGATAGGCTTTACCTTTCAGGTGCCATGTCGTGCATGAGCAACAGGTTTAGGCGCGCGGGATGCATGCCGCCGCTTTCGGTTGATCGGGGACAAGGTGGAATGTGTTGCTTACCCGTTCCCAGTAGTCCAAATGTCTCTGGCAGGGTTGCCAGCGCATGGGCCTCCATGGCAGGGTTTTCAGGGTCTGGAGGCAGTGGCACGCCTGGGGGCGCCGGGGGGGGGCGACAAGCAGCAGTGGCATTAGCCAACGGTGCAGCAGGGTGGGGGTCGGTCAGCAGCTGGTTGGCCCGGCTGCCGGTTCAGAGACGGCAATAATAAGGGCACAATGTGACTTTGACCTTGACCTATCCGCCTGGGGCTTCAAGTGGACCCAAATAAAGGCGCCCTCCGTCATGTATATTCTTCACCGACCCATGGGTCCAAGCGCTAAGATGTCCACTGATAAACGGTCTTAGTAGGTGTCACTCACCCAGGTCCCTGAACGCCTGCCGGTACGCCGCTGTGCAGGGACCTATGGTGTGGTTGAACGGATAGCCACCAAAATGGAGCGGCCATTGTCCCCCTGCGACCAAATTGGCAGCAAAGACACGCCTTCGAGCATGGCCATGCGAAACGGCTGCGGCACGCAGCAGAAACCGTGTTTACCACCGTTCCATTATGATCCACCCACTTACGGACCAACGGACCTACCGCTGTGCGGCATATGGAGTGTAGCGGTGCGTATGGTGGCTGTGGCGGCGGGCAGTGAGCAGTTGAAGGGCGATTCGAACTGCTCACAGACCCCTCTGCCCAGTGGTGTATCCTTCACTGCGTGGATCTGTAGCAGCAGGCAGGAACGCGTGCAAAGAATGTAGTTTAGCGTGCTTAGGCTACATCCGGTTCCGTACCACGTCCGCTGGACCCGTAGCTGATGGTAGCAGTCCCCACCCGTTACCCATCCAAACTGGCCCACGCACCCTGTCAGTGAAGTACTCATCCTCGTCAGGTGCCGTGAAGGTCCTGAACTCCTGCGGATAGAAGCAAGCCAAGCGCATTAAGCATGTATGGTTAGGTCCTCAGCACCTGATGAGGACTGTATGCTCAAAGGCATCTCGCTCTGGTTCAGAGCACGCACCCTACGCACCCACCTACCCGCGAGCTCGGGGCCACCAGCTTCTTAAGAGTGCCTTCCAGCTCCGGCGGAAACAGAGACATGAGCGCTGCGAACTTGGGCCTCCCGAATACGGCGCTCCAGATGACGTCATTCAGCATGTCTTGGGCAGCAAGCCCAGACAAGCGCTCCTTGGGGTGCTCAGCTGCATGCAAAGATTGCATGGCATGGTCAGGTAATAAGTTGGTTGCATGGAGGGGTAATGGACAAGCCTTAGTGTCAGGCACCCTACCGGTGCAGGTTCTTCACTTCTGCTGCTTTTGGGCAAACCCAACCCAGCAGTGCAGTGTAGTTCAGAACTTGATTCAGGAGCAGGCATGTCTGCATGCGAGGATGTCCCTGGTATTCCAGCAGGGCTAGCTAAGAGGCCAACATTCGAGGGACCTACCAAATGTGGCGGACATGTTGGCCAGGACGCTCCAATCTTCCATCCAACGAACTGCAAATAACAAAGAGGCCCGGGTTCCGGAGTATCGGTGTGTTATACAGGCACATACGGCTGTGGGCTTCCCATGTCATCTTACCTGTCCGGTGCAGAGCCTCGTAAAGTATCCACGCCACCGGCCCTTGAGATGACGCATTCTGCAAACATGGCAGGTATGTCGTGTCGTAAGGTGAAACCGTACAGCACCATGTGCCGTATAGCAGTACCGGTTACAAGGGAACGCTATCGTAAGTACAGTAAGGCTGAAGGGTACCAACAGCACCTCAGCAAAGCAGATCCCGTACTGCATGAGGTACGCATGTGGACCCCGATGCCCAAACCAACCCTTCTCCCGTACACACCTGCACGTACATGAACCCCTCGTTAATGCAGTTGCCGCATTCCGCCTGGCTGAGCAGCTGGTAGGCGGCCAGCGGGGGCTGCTTGGCGCGCCAGTACCAGTCGTCAAGCAGCACGACGTCCGAGTCAACCGCCAAGACGTTGTAGCCCAGGAACACGGAGCGGGCTGGCAGGGGAGGGTGGGTGGGAGAGAAGAGCAGGAGGGTGGCGTGCAAGAATGACAGAGGGGGGAGCGGCGTGTGAGGGTGGGCGGCAAGTGTGGCAAGTGGCTTTCAAATTATGTTTATGTTTATTTTTATTTTTTGTTGATTACGGTGGCTGCTTTTGAGCTTCCATGCACTGTACGACCGGGCCGTCTCTGTATGCAGTACATACCCCAGTTGGGGAAGTCCTTCCGTAGCTACAATGCTAGCTACATCACCAGAAGCCATGTATATACCCGAACGAACCCCCGTTCCCAACTCACCCACTGTGAACCATTTGCGCCACGAGGCCATCATGCCAGTGGAACTACTGCCGTACCGTAGATACCGAAATCCAGACTCGTACGGCACACCGCTGTGTACGAGCAACGCGGGGTTGGGGATCGGATTAGGGGTACGACGCTGAAGGTCTGCTGACCTTGCCATAGCCCCTGTGTTCGCAACTTCGCATGCAGGTGTCACGTATGGTAGAACGTAAGCAGCAGTCGGTTCCCTCCCTCCCGCCGCTTGTAGGACACGCACCTGTCATCGCTTGTTGCATATGTGCCGCAGCTCAGGCTCCACACTGGTTGTCCTTTGTACGACAGTGCTTTCGCGAGTTGCTGACAGTCGTGCGGACCTTCCAAAACCGGCAAGACATGGCCATAGCCCGCAGCATGGAAGCGCGCCATGGTTTGGGCAGCTTCTGCAACACGTGTTTCCGAGAAAACAATAACTTCATTCTTGAATGCTGTTGCCTCTAATGCGCTCTTAAGCTGATGCGCTGTGTCGAGCGGCCCCATGTATCCATGCGTTTGGCCAAAAGAGCAGAACTGCCCGCCACGACGGCGGCAAAGGCGAGCGACGGTAGTGGGAATACCATGCTGGTCGGAAGATAAGGAATGTCCTGAAAGGCCCAAACAAAGACCCGGAGCATGAAGGAGGAACACTGCCAGCAATGGAATGGCACGCCGAAGCGATATGACATAGCATTTTGAAGTGTAACTAAATAGCATGGGGCTAGCTTGCATTGCTGTATCACGTAGGCCTAGCCTTACGAGTTGCGGAGTAAGTCGTCACACTTGGTGCAAGGCGAAGCGAGTGAGTATACGTGCGTATTGCAAAGCATATGGCAGATTCATTAATGACAGCATGTACAGGATTGCCACCAAATAGCTTGAGGCCCACCGTGCCGCTTTGGGGAACACGAGCAGGCGCCTGACAGTTGAGCCGTTATTTTAGCCCGGTCGCGAGCTACATGCTTAATTCATCGACTAGTCTGGGTTACCATTTACCATGGCTTTTACCATTAAAATTAAATGCAAAGCAGGCTAAACGCATATGAGAATAGCTGCGTGGCAGGCGACGTTCCATTTCTTGAATCCAGATGCTGTTCGTACCAGAAACCAGTTCCGCGAAGCCCAGTAACCTGTTGTGTTCTTCAGCCCTTATCAATCATGGTTTGTGCCAGCACCATCTGTGTCAGCATTAAGCATGCCCGAGTGTGCCAAGGTGTTCAGGAACGGCTCTTATTGACGTGTATCCGTGCACGATATGGTGTCGGGTGACGACATGTAGCTCCTTGCCTTTGATAAGGAGAGACACATATTATAGAGACACGGTGTAACTGCTTTGGGGCCGGCGCTTCGGTAGCGACTGCGGAATGGGTTGCTTGGCCATGGGTGTCCCTCGTAGGGTATCTCGGCAAGTGGTGTCGATGTGCCTGGGCTGAGAGCTGCGCCACCGCTGCACGCTGCCTGTGGTATTGTTGTTCCTGGTAGGAGGGGCTTGTGCAAGCAAGGCTTTGTGCGCCTACTGTGCCCCGGACTTCTAGGGTTTGGAAGCTCTTATGCTTGCATACAAGCCTGCCACGGGCTTAACACACTGACGGACAACAGCTTGGGTGTCGTTCATCCTGCTTGCTGCAGAGCACCATCGGCCGATGCCCATGAACTGGCCACCACGATTTAGACCATGAGGCGAATCGTCGCGTTCGTTCCAAAGTCTGAATCTGACATAGCAGGTTTTCTATGCCATGACAGCCATCAGGATTATTATAAGTATTGTATTGCTGAAGCATGACCTCTTCCTTGCTAGCCTATAGTTTATCATGTTTAAATGGTTAGCGTCCGGACCTTGCAATGTCCTCCATACAGCGTTGAACATGCGACGGAATCAAACACAATAACAAGAATGACTCTTGCACCCTCTTCTAGCCTTAGACGAAGTCTAGTGGAGATAGCCGAAGTCGCAGATAACGACCTCTTTGAGAGTCCCCCGGACCTTCTTTGCCCGATCACTCATGAATTGTTCTACGACCCTGTAATTAACGCAGCGGGCCAGGTCTATGAGCGAGCCGCAATTGAAAAGGCGCTGGCGCACAAACTGGTGGGCGTTATTGACAGGAGCATGCCTATCACCACCAGCACAGCCTACGCTGGAATCTTCCAGTACAGAATGTATCGTTTACGACTTATACTTCCTGCCGCTTGCGGCTGCGCACCTAGATGATTACCTTTCAGCGGACTTGTCACCCTGCCAAGCACTGTCCAGGTGCTCACATGCTCTCCCGGCTGAACCCCCTTCCTTAGGTGGATCCAATCAGCAACCTCCCCTTGGACACGGCAGCCCTCACGACCGTGTGGCCCATGAAGAGCAAGGTACGAGCCCGGGTAGCATCATGGGGCCCTTCCTCGAGGAGAGGAGAGCCCGAGGAGTGACCCAAGCACATCCCCCATGATAGGGGCATAGGAAAGCAGCCCCCTGCGCGCATGCTACGCTCTTTCACCTTCCGCACATCTACCCGCATCCTGTTTCTCTGTTCGCCTTCCCTGCACCTACCAACAACCCAACGCACCCCGCTACCTCACCACCCACCACCCCCAGGCGGCTGCCTACCGCGAGCGTGCCGTACGGGGCTGCATCGCACAGGTGTGCAAGCCCTCCTGCCGTACACCCATCCGCTACCTTCGGCGAGCCGCGGAGCTGTCTGCGGGCGCGGCGGCGTGCGGCGGCGGACCCGGCGGGTCGGTGCTGGGGCTGCCGGGGCTGACTCGGGAGGTGGTGGAGTACCTGCTGACGCACCCCAGCAGCATATACGATTTCCAGGTGCGAGGGGCCGAGATTCCGAGATTCGGGAAGGGGATCCGAATGTCATGAGGCCACCAGTTGAGCATCAGCTGCACTCCCAACCTTGAAAGTTACGGTGTACGCCCGGTTTGGCTACCGTACCCTCTCCCCTGGTCCTTCTCCTTCTCCCTCTTCAACTGCACAAAGCTCTTGTCGTACGCATGGGGTTGCATCCCTCGTAGGCGTTGAGTCGCTTCGCTGCTTCTCTGGCCGCTGGCGGGCACCGGGACCTAGCCGCCGGCCTGTACACCAAGCTGCTGCAGCAGGACGGTGACTCCGCGCAGCAGGTGGAGGCGCTGAGGGGGCTGCTGGCGTGCTGGGGCGGGCCGGAGGAGGAGGAGGACGAGCAGCAGCTAGTGGAGAGGCTGGCTGGGCTGTCCTGCGGAGAAGGAGCGGAGGGGTGCTGTCGACCCGCCCGGTTCGTGGGCGTGTTGTTGGCGGCTGGTTTGTCAGAGGAGCTTGTGGTGCGGTTCTGTGAGTACATACTGGGGAGCAGCAGCGCGGCGGGGCCTGCAGGGCCGCCGCAGCAGCAGCAGTTACAGCAGCAGCTGGCGAGCAGCTGCAGTGGTAGGTTGAGCAATCGGGCAAGCAGCGCAGAGCCGTGCGGCAGTGGAGGGATGTCGGGCGCGGCGGCGGTGGCGGCGTCGGGAGGCGCGGGAGGCAACGCGGATCTCCTGTATGTGTACACCAAGCTTAGATGCGGGCGGCTGGATGCGGCGCTAGCAGCAGCGCAGCAGCGGAGTGCGGCTGGGGGAGAGGGGGCAGCTTCAGGGGCAGCAGGCTGTGTGGGGGCAGAGGTTGCAGACGGGACGGATGTGAGTACGGCGGAGGGCTCCGGGCGCCGGCTAACCGCCGATGGTATTGGACAGGGGCGAGGGCAGGGGAGGGGAGGCGGCATTTGGAGGCGGCGGCAGGTGCAGCGGGCGGCGTGTTCGGCGGTGTATGCGTTGGTTACGTTGTCGGGGTCGACAAGGCTTGTGGCCCGAGCGCTGAAGGTGGCTAGCATTTTGCTGCTGCTAAATAACCCTCGGACGGCTAGAGAGGGGTAGAGCGGCCCAGGGCATGGGACCCAGGAGTCCCCGTGTGGATTGCTGAGATATGGTCTTAGCGGTGTGACTTACCAGAGGGCATGTAGACCTTCGCGCATGCATTTTGCTGATTGTAGCATGCAGAGGGCATTGTCGCAGATGTTGGGTTTGAACGTCGACATATGCGCTAGTAGCCTGGAGCTGACCGCATCGACCGCATTCGGATCTGTGCGATAACTAGCACAGTTACAGCTTTGGTTGGCAAGGAGTTGCCAATGCATGCGCCTGTAAGCAGCCGTCAAAGCTGATGCCAATGGATACGTAACCGGTGATTCCATTAGCATGCATGGGACACGATACGCACGTTAACAACAAAGAGCGCGCCGCATAAAATGTTGAGCAAAGCATGGGCATGTGGCAAGGCGCCCTATAGGTTTGCCTTAGCTACTCATAATCCGGAAAACAGAGGTCGGTTGAGCACGCCCTAGTTCCAAGAACGGATCAAGTCTCAATGAGGTCACGATCCTGACATTCGTGTATGTCGCCACGATCCTTAGTATTCCCATGCACCCAAGTCACAGCCAAACACAGTCACGGTTACCACCGTCACGAAACAATCCTACACCACCAGTTACTGCTTGTCGCGCAAACCCACCTGCCTTAATCCCCTAACCCTGTCAGGTATTCCCAAAACGACACATTTCACCATTCAAGTCCAGTGTTTCCTTAACGCCCCCCGGGCGTTGTCAGCCGGCAGACTCCACGTCCTGTTACCGCCAGCCGCTCACATGCCGATAGGGAGGCTGCGCACGCTGGTGGGCGCGCGGCCGTACAGGAAGATGGAGAGGCCAGCTGCCAGGGCGGCACCGAAGAGCTCGGCAGCGATGTAGAGGAAGGAGATGCCGACGTTGCAGGTGAAGACGACGGCGGGGCCAATCGTACGGGCGGGGTTCAAGCTAGCGCCGGTGTAGGGGCCACCTGCGGAGCAACCATTGGGCGCAACAGCGTTTAGTTGTAGGCGTGACCTGGATACGCGGGGTGCCATGCTTGGTTACAAGCTACCGAGCCAGCAGCACCTAGCAGTGGCTATGTTGTTGAGACTGAAAGATGATGGGGTTTGATCCGCTGTTGCTCAACTTCCATCGAGATAAGCGCGTGTAAGCCTGTGAGCTTCTCCGGACCCAGATCAATGCCCCAAACATGCAGCTGCCTAAGCCCCTTCCTCACCGGAGATGGCAGCGGCGTACAGCGACAGACCAATGGCCAGGGGAGCGGTGTTGCCGTGGCCCGGCTTGGCCACTGCGGCGGCGTACACGGTCATGACGAGCAGAAAGGTCATCATCGTCTCCCAGCCGAACACGTCGCCGTTGCGGACGCCAGCGGAAGGCCCGAAGCAGCCAGGCGAGCCAGCACCGGCTCCGAGATGCAGCGTGGGGATGAGGCCGGTGTAGATGAGCGCGCCGAAAATGGCACCGAGGATCTGCGACAAACCACGTACGGCAGGGAAAGTGCGTCTTACAGGGAAGCGGCTGCCGGTATGTGGCAGGAGAAGTGTTCCCGGTACAGACGAGGCGTTAACCTGCGGTAATCCCAGATCCGGACTTGCGGTGAGGTGGGTGCTGTGAGGGAGCTTACCTGGGCAATCATGTAGAGCAGGCCCTTCCACCACTTCATGTGGCCCGTGCAGATCAACGCGAAGGTAACGGCGGGGTTAATGTGCGCGCCGGAGATGTTGGCGAAGGCGTAGACTGCATGGAGGTAGGTGGCAAGGGAAGGCGAGGAGAGGGTTAGCTGGTAAACCTTGCGGGGAGTAAGGGGAAAGGGGAAACCCCGGCGAGTCCTGGCCGTGGGAGCATATACTTACTGACGGCAACCAGCGCGAAACCGTTTGCAGCGGGGGCGGTGGTATCCTTGGCGGGAGCGGAACCACCGAACATCTGGAACAAAAGCGTGCCGAAAAACTCCGCCATAAGGCAGCGAGCAAACTCGTTCTTGACTTGGCCAGTGATGTCAAGGTAAGGACGGAGCTTTTGCCTGCACCAGACAAGTACGCCAAACGTGGCATCCATGGGCTCAGACCTATCGCGTATAACAGTATGACACTTACATTACACCAGCCTTCTCCAGATAGCGCTCCAGAACAACTGGCAGAAGGTCATCGTCATCCCCAAACTTTGTCGTCCCTGCCTTTGACGGCCCCGCAGAATTGTTGACCTCCACTAGGCCCTGGCCCTCCTCTTGATAACCGCGGTCATACTTGGCTTGGACCTCCAAAGACATCCTGAGCATAAGGACCAAATCGGGAAAGCCATTCAGAGTTTGCCCAGCACAGGAGCTTGTTGACGGGTACGCTGAAAGACGCTCATTATACTATCTTCTATCAGAACATGCTGACAGGGAAATGCGGCAATGAAGACTTTGCAGCGAGATAGTGTGTTCCACTGGAGCCTGGTCAACGAAGCACACCAATTATCACCTACTTTTATGCAGCACGTATGTAACGGACTCTGAAGTTGTTAATATGTACCGTATGAACCAAACCTAGCAGCCAGCAGCTTGTATGTTTCAAGGCTCGCGATTTTTCAAAACAGGCGTTGCTGCAGTCGCCCGGGGATCCCCCTAATAGAGGCTTAAGGAAAGCAACCTTGCCCTTCAAGGATATTATAGCGCCTCAGCGCCATTTCCATTGGCATCATGTACGGCAATTTTGCATGGCCTTACCTTCTATGATCTGGCTGAAGACATGGGGACCTCCAAGACGTCGCATCTTAACTTGAACGATATATACAGTAGCAATGCTGCAAGCATCTAGCGTTCGTGCTCAAAGAGCCTTCACGACCGGCTCCGCCAGTCGTCGCTCGGCTCTTATCGTGCGAGCGCAAAACAAGAGCGCTACGCAGGTCAGCTGTTCCTCTACAGTACGCGCCCATTCTGCTCACTTTTCACACAGCGTTGCGCCTTTGGCTTCCAACCTCCTTCCCGATAGGGCTCACGACAGCCGCACTGCAAGCCCACCCACATGACATGTCAAGTCCCCCATCCACGTATTCTCACGACCCTGCCCCTTTCCTGAACTTCCCCTTCCTTCTTTGGCCCTCCCAGGCCCCCTCGGCCCGTGTTGCCGGTGCTGCGCTGCTGGCCGCGACCACCCTGGTCCTGAACACCGCCCCTGCTTTGGACCCCACCGCTCTGCTGCTGCAGCCAGCCCGCGCGGATGACACGTCAGAGGTACGCAAACTACTCTGGACCAACTGTTCTTCTCTTGGCGACTTTTTCTTAAGCTATACATGCGGTACATCGTACATACCCATCCCAGCTCCCAGGCAAGGACGCCGCATGACCCACGAGCCACGACCCATCCGCCCCACCTCACTGAACCCCCCTTGCTCACATACCTGGATGCCCAACCCCACCCCGCACATACCTCGGTAGGAGCTGCTGACGCCCTACCAGCGCCGCCAGCGGGAGTTGGAGCGCCGGCGGGAGCTGCTCCGCCAGGCGTAAGCGGGAACCACATACCTTGCTTGCTTTTTCTCTATCGCTTTGTGTGCTCTGTACGCTCTCTGTACGCTCTCTCTGAAAAGCGAAAATGTTTAGAAGCAGGGATAACATTGCAGGTGAGTTGATGGAAAGAGGCGGCGAGAACTGTTGAGCCGTCAAACCTGCCTGCATGATAGGGTGCCTCTTCATCGATGAAAGCAAGGGGTGCGGTCGCTGACTCGCTGTTGCTCGCCGCCGCCGCATCCTCCTCCTCCTTCCCTCACTGTTGTGTGCAGGCGGGAGCAGGCGGAGGTCAAGGCGGGTGGCGAGGTGGCTGCTGACGTGGATGCCGCCATTGAGGCCTCCAACGGTGCGTGGCGCCCGCTGTTGCCTGTCTGCATGAGCCCTGTCGCCTGTGGTTTCCTATGATTTGATATGGTCTTTGACCCCGCCTGCCCGCCCAACACCTCCCCGCCATTCAACCTGCTATGAATGCCCTATCGAGATGATCACTTCCCCCTTGCGCGTACGGTAACAACTCACCTTGCCCCGTCCCGGCGTGTCTTCTTCTCCCCCTCCTCCTCCTCCGTACCACAGCCGAGCGCCGCGCTGAGGCCGAGCGCCTGGCTTCCCAGCTGCGCAGTAACGCCGCAACCACCTACGAGAGCTCCACAGCCACCGGCCGCTACCGCTACCCCGCAGCAACACCTGCACCCGCACCCGCAGCCCCTGCACCCGCACCCGCACCGGCCGTGGTGGCCCCGCCTGCTGCTGAGCAGGTGAAGAAGACCGCTCCTGTAGCAGCCCCGGCTCCCGCCCCGGCTCCTGCTGCTGCTAAGAAGGTGGAGGAGCCGAAGAAACAAGAGCAGGCAGCTGGGAAGACGAAGCGTCGCGGCCCGCTGCCGCTGTTCCTGGCTCAGTTGTTGGTGCTGGGTGGGTTTGTGGGTGTGGGCCTTGCGACCACAAAGTACGACCGGGAGAGCAGGCAGGCGCTGGCGCTGGCGAGGGAGAAAGGCAAGGAGTTGTACGGAAAGGCCGAGCAGGCATTGCAGCAGGCGGTGGCTAACGCTCAGAAGTGAGCAAGTGAGGGAGATGTCGGAATGTCGGGATGATGAAGTCTGGGCGCGCGAGGGTTAATAAGGCGGAATCTTGATTCATGGAAGGAAGTGTGAGTGCTTGCTGCTTGGAGCACGAGTTTTGGTGCGTGGATGATGATGTATTGTATGCGAGGGTGCTAATTTGGTAGCGGAGAGAAGCAGGAGAGGTGGCGTGAGGCTCGATGATTGTTGCATCAAAACAGGGTAATTAAGCCCCGTACAACACGTCATACACTGCACTTCTGCCCCTCTCACAGGCATCGAGGCTGTGGCAGAACCAGCGCAGAACACGTTGCAATTCCGTACTGTGCAAAAGTGCAATCCTTCTGCCCCGAGCCCTGGCGACTGCCAATTGGTGGGCGCTAATTGATCACTAGCACTGCCTAAGAGTAAGCGGGTTGGCTGGCACCGGCTTCGGGTGGGTCGACCGCTCGAGGGCGACAGGACACCATCGCTCGCCGGCTTGGCTTATCCGCAAATCCTCATCCAACCCCTCTACTACAGCAGCAGAGGCTTTTCGTCCAACCATGCCTGGTGCATGCTCCAGCTCTCCCTTGCGGACGGGTATAGGTGCGCCGAGTTTCGCCCTGGTCAGCGATGGAGCATGACCGCATGCCAAACGTGCACCCATGACTTGCATGCCCATCATGCCCGCAGCCCAAGCCATCATAAGCCACCTGCGCTCCTGCCCTTGTGTGTAACAACGCCACTCAGGCCTAGCCCCCACCGACCTAGCACCCGCCGACCTGGGCCCCACCGACCTAGCACCCGCCGACCTAGCACCCGCCGACCTAGCACCCGCCGACCTGGGCCCCACCGACCTAGCACCCGCCGACCTAGCACCCGCCGACCTAGCATCCGCCGACCTAGCGCCCGCCGACCTAGCACCCGCCGACCTAGCACCCGCCGACCTAGCGCCCGCCGACCTAGCACCCGCCGACCTGGGCCCCACCAACCTAGCACCCGCCGACCTAGCACCCGCCGACCTGGCACCCGCCGACCTAGCACCCGCCGACCTAGCACCCGCCGACCTAGCACCCGCCGACCTGGGCCCCACCGACCTAGCGCCCGCCGACCTAGCACCCGCCGACCTAGCGCCCGCCGACCTAGCACCCACCGACCTAGCACCCGCCGACCTAGCACCCGCCGACCTAGCCCCCACCGACCTAGCACCCGCCGACCTAGCACCCGCCGACCTAGCACCCGCCGACCTAGCACCCGCCGACCTAGCACCCGCCGACCCAGCACCCGCCGACCTAGCACCCGCCGACCTAGCACCCGCCGACCTAGCACCCGCCGACCTAGCACCCGCCGACCTAGCATCCGCCGACCTAGCACCCGCCGACCTAGCACCCGCCGACCTAGCGCCCGCCGACCTAGCACCCACCGACCTAGCACCCGCCGACCGAGCACCCGCCTACCTAGCATCCACCGACCTAGCACCGGCCGACCTGGGCCCCACCGACCTAGCACCCGCTGACCTAGCACCCGCCGACCTAGCACCCGCCGACCTAGCACCCGCCGACCTAGCACCCGCCGACCTAGCACCCGCCGACCTAGCACCCGCCGACCTAGCACCCGCCGAACTAGCACCCGCCGACCTAGCACCCGCCGACCTAGCACCCGCCGACCTAGCACCCGCCGACCTAGCACCCGCCGACCTAGCTCCCGCCGACCTAGCATCCACCGACCTAGCACCCGCCGACCTAGCCCCCGCCGACCTAGCCCCCGCCGACCTAGCATCCACCGACCTAGCCCCCACCGACCTAGCACCCGCCGACCTAGCATCCGCCGACCTAGCACCCGCCGACCTAGCACCCGCCGACCTGGGCCCCAACGACCTAGCACCCGCCGACCTAGCTCCCGCCGACCTAGCACCCGCCGACCTAGCACCCGCCGACCTAGCCCCCGCCGACCTAGCCCCCGCCGACCTAGCATCCGCCGACCTAGCCCCCACCGACCTAGCACCCGCCGACCTAGCACCCGCCGACCTGGCACCCGCCGACCTAGCACCCGCCGACCTGGGCCCCAACGACCTAGCACCCGCCGACCTAGCACCCGCCGACCTAGCGCCCGCCGACCTAGCACCCACCGACCTAGCACCCGCCGACCTAGCACCCGCCGACCTAGCACCCGCCGACCTAGCACCCGCCGACCTAGCACCCGCCGACCTAGCACCCGCCGACCTAGCACCCGCCAACCTAGAACCCACCGACCTAGCACCCACCGACCTAGCACCCACCGACCTGGCACCCGCCGACCTAGCACCCGCTGACCTAGCACCCGCCGACCTAGCACCCGCCGACCTGGGCCCCACCGACCTAGCACCCGCTGACCTAGCACCCGCCGACCTAGCACCCGCCGACCTAGCACCCGCCGACCTAGCACCCGCCGACCTAGCATCCGCCGACCTAGCACCCGCCGACCTAGCACCCGCCGACCTAGCACCCGCCGACCTAGCATCCACCGACCTAGCACCCGCCGACCTGGCACCCGCCGACCTAGCACCCGCCGACCTAGCATCCACCGACCTGGCTGCCGCCGACCTAGCACCCGCCGACCTAGCACTCGCCGACCTAGCACTCGCCGACCTAGCACCCGCCGACCTAGCACCCGCCAACCTAGAACCCACCGACCTAGCACCCACCGACCTAGCACCCACCGACCTAGCACCCGCCGACCTAGCACCCGCCGACCTGGGCCCCACCGACCTAGCACCCGCCGACCTAGCACCCGCCGACCTGGGCCCCACCGACCTAGCACCCGCCGACCTAGCACCCGCCGACCTGGGCCCCACCGACCTAGCACCCGCTGACCTAGCACCCGCCGACCTAGCACCCGCCGACCTAGCACCCGCCGACCTAGCACCCGCCGACCTAGCATCCGCCGACCTAGCACCCGCCTACCTAGCACCCGCCGACCTAGCACCCGCCGACCTAGCATCCACCGACCTAGCACCCGCCGACCTGGCACCCGCCGACCTAGCACCCGCCAACCTAGAACCCACCGACCTAGCACCCACCGACCTAGCACCCACCGACCTAGCACCCGCCGACCTAGCACCCGCCGACCTGGGCCCCACCGACCTAGCACCCGCCGACCTAGCACCCGCCGACCTGGGCCCCACCGACCTAGCACCCGCTGACCTAGCACCCGCCGACCTAGCACCCGCCGACCTAGCACCCGCCGACCTAGCACCCGCCGACCTAGCATCCGCCGACCTAGCACCCGCCTACCTAGCACCCGCCGACCTAGCACCCGCCGACCTAGCACCCACCGACCTAGCACCCGCCGACCTAGCCCCCGCCGACCAAGCCCCCGCCGACCTAGCATCCACCGACCTAGCCCCCACCGACCTAGCACCCGCCGACCTAGCATCCGCCGACCTAGCACCCGCCGACCTAGCACCCGCCGACCTGGGCCCCAACGACCTAGCACCCGCCGACCTAGCTCCCGCCGACCTAGCACCCGCCGACCTAGCACCCGCCGACCTAGCCCCCGCCGACCGAGCCCCCGCCGACCTAGCATCCGCCGACCTAGCCCCCACCGACCTAGCACCCGCCGACCTAGCATCCGCCGACCTGGCACCCGCCGACCTAGCACCCGCCGACCTGGGCCCCAACGACCTAGCACCCGCCGACCTATCACCCGCCGACCTAGCGCCCGCCGACCTAGCACCCACCGACCTAGCACCCGCCGACCTAGCACCCGCCGACCTAGCACCCGCCGACCTAGCACCCGCCGACCTAGCACCCGCCGACCTAGCACCCGCCGACCTAGCACCCGCCAACCTAGAACCCACCGACCTAGCACCCACCGACCTAGCACCCACCGACCTGGCACCCGCCGACCTAGCACCCGCCGACCTAGCACCCGCCGACCTAGCACCCGCCGACCTGGGCCCCACCGACCTAGCACCCGCTGACCTAGCACCCGCCGACCTAGCACCCGCCGACCTAGCACCCGCCGACCTAGCACCCGCCGACCTAGCATCCGCCGACCTAGCACCCGCCGACCTAGCACCCGCCGACCTAGCACCCGCCGACCTAGCACCCACCGACCTAGCACCCGCCGACCTGGCACCCGCCGACCTAGCACCCGCCGACCTAGCATCCACCGACCTGGCTGCCGCCGACCTAGCACCCGCCGACCTAGCACTCGCCGACCTAGCACTCGCCGACCTAGCACCCGCCGACCTAGCACCCGCCAACCTAGAACCCACCGACCTAGCACCCACCGACCTAGCACCCACCGACCTAGCACCCGCCGACCTAGCACCCGCCGACCTGGGCCCCACCGACCTAGCACCCGCCGACCTAGCACCCGCCGACCTGGGCCCCACCGACCTAGCACCCGCCGACCTAGCACCCGCCGACCTAGCACCCGCCGACCTAGCATCCACCGACCTAGCACCCGCCGACCTGGCACCCGCCGACCTAGCACCCGCCGACCTAGAACCCACCGACCTAGCACCCACCGACCTAGCACCCACCGACCTAGCACCCGCCGACCTAGCACCCGCCGACCTGGGCCCCACCGACCTAGCACCCGCCGACCTAGCACCCGCCGACCTCGGCCCCACCGACCTAGCACCCGCTGACCTAGCACCCGCCGACCTAGCACCCGCCGACCTAGCACCCGCCGACCTAGCACCCGCCGACCTAGCATCCGCCGACCTAGCACCCGCCTACCTAGCACCCGCCGACCTAGCACCCGCCGACCTAGCATCCACCGACCTAGCACCCGCCGACCTAGCCCCCGCCGACCAAGCCCCCGCCGACCTAGCATCCACCGACCTAGCCCCCACCGACCTAGCACCCGCCGACCTAGCATCCGCCGACCTAGCACCCGCCGACCTAGCACCCGCCGACCTGGGCCCCAACGACCTAGCACCCGCCGACCTAGCTCCCGCCGACCTAGCACCCGCCGACCTAGCACCCGCCGACCTAGCCCCCGCCGACCGAGCCCCCGCCGACCTAGCATCCGCCGACCTAGCCCCCACCGACCTAGCACCCGCCGACCTAGCATCCGCCGACCTGGCACCCGCCGACCTAGCACCCGCCGACCTGGGCCCCAACGACCTAGCACCCGCCGACCTATCACCCGCCGACCTAGCGCCCGCCGACCTAGCACCCACCGACCTAGCACCCGCCGACCTAGCACCCGCCGACCTAGCACCCGCCGACCTAGCACCCGCCGACCTAGCACCCGCCGACCTAGCACCCGCCGACCTAGCACCCGCCAACCT